GTTAGATCTGGGATGGGACAGGGGATATGGCTGATACAATAACCAGAAATTTTTCCTTCCCCTTTCCTCATCATACCTCCCCATCCTAACCAGCCCCAAGGCAGAGGACCCCCTTGCGGAAAGCCAGGCCGTTTTTGTTAGGGCACCCTATTTCTGGAACATACCCAGGCCTAGAGTATCTGGGACCTAACAGGATTTAGGAAATAATTTAGGGACTTTGTCAGACCATTCTCTACTTGGTGGTTCTTGTCCTTCTTATCAACCATAAAAATAGTCTGTGATGGCCGGGCCGGTGGCTCAAGCCTGTAATCCCAGCACTTTGGGAGCGAGACTGGGCGGATCACGAGGTCTCAGGAGATCGAGACCATCCTGGCTAACATGGCGAAACCCCGTCTCTACTAAAAAATACAAAAAAAGTCAGCCGGGCGAGGTGGGCGGGCGCCTGTAGTCCCCAGCTACTCGGGAGGCTCGAGGCAGGAGAATGGCGTGAACCCGGGAGGCGGAGCTGCAGTGGACTGAGATCCGGCCACTGCACTACTCAGCCCGGGCCGACAGAGCGAGACTCCGTCTCAACAAGAACAAAAAAAAAATCAAAAATAGCTGGATTCCCCTTATGGTATGGTCATGCTTTCATTAGAGTTGCTTACTGTTACCCATGGTTGGGGTGGTGACTTGCCAGCACAATCTGCTCCTCTTTCCATCTCCCCTCCCCGCCTCCGAGTTATGGGCTCCCGCTCAGAGCGTAGCGAAATCGCAATGGCTTTCCCATTGGACTCATGACGCAGCACACGGCACATTTCAATCCACCCTCCTTCGCCTTCTTTTATATTACATCCAAACATCTTTCTCCTGGACTTCCCCGCGCTCTCCCAAAGAGCTGCGTGAGCGGAGGTTAGGTGAAGAGACAGTTTCTGGTCTTCGCATGATTTGTGTCAGGAAGGACAGGCAGAGCCACGTGGTCAAGAAGGAGTTTCTGCAAATAGCTGAGGTATCTCAAGGCAAACCGTAAGAGAGGAGAGGGAAAAATGGGAACTGCAGTGAAGGCATCTATCTTTTCCGGGCAAGCATTGCAGTAGTTGCCATTACAACAGAAGAACACGTTTTTCTCTCTCCTGCGCAAAGCGTATGTAATTCCACACATCTCTTTGGGACAGCCCAGGACTGAATATTGGTACACGTATTCTGAAGAGAGTAGGAGAGTAACAGAGGCTTCAGGTTAGATCTGGGATGGGACAGGGGATATCTGGCTGAGTAAGCCGCCCTTCTCTTCCCTCCCCTCCCCTCACGCAGAGGCTGAGACTTTGAAGACCCTTCCACAGAAGGAGCAGCCTTCCCCCGGGGCAACGCACCCTACCTCCAACACATTTACAGCAAAGGAGCTGTCTCAGCCATGCTGTATTAGGAAATAAGTCACTGAAAATCAGAGACCGGTGGAATCGCGGAGGAGATCACTTATTAAAACATCTGTACAGATCATTGTACGAGGATGAGAAATATAGAACTCCGGGAAAGGGAAGTAACATGTTCAAGACCATCAAGCTCTGAGGGTAAAAGCCCAGAGCTGGCGGCGCGTGGAGAATTCTGACTCCAAGATGAGCCACTTTTTTCCCCCCCAGGTCGAGTTGATAAACTCAGTCTCCCATCCCTCCGCCTTACTCCTACCCCTAACTCACCTCCAGTGAAATGTTGAATATACACCTCTTTGTCTGGCATGCAAAGTCGCGGATGGTTTGGATTGACAGGAACCTGGATTCTTTCTGCAGGTCTTGTCAAACAAATTCACCACAGGAGGTGCAAATTATAGATCTTGTAGGTTCTGAATATGTATGTCAAAACCATAGCATAAGACCAGGGTGGCAGGTAGTCAGGGAAGAGAGGAGAAATACTGCCATGAAGGTATCTGGCTTGCTATCCTGGACCTTCCAGATCCCAGCCAGACTTCTGGGGACCTCCGAGGACCCTCTCTTCTAGATTTATCTCAGCAGAGCCCAGGTCTATCAGAGAATCTGGTTTCAGGCATCATGGGACTACCAGGAAACCCTCTCCCCTCCTCTTTACAGGCACAGCGTGTAGCTGTGTTTCTGAAGGGGACACTGTGCTGGGTATTTCATTGCTGGTAGCACTGGGCAAGTTGGACTGAGAAAGAAGACCCAGTATCCATGGGAAAGGAAAGAAGAGGATTTGTCTTCAGAGTTACTTACCAAGACCTGAACCCCTGTTGAGAGAAAATCATGCTATCACTCTCCAATTTACACATCCATAGGTGCTGAATTATTTTTTTTATCACCCCTTCCCTTCAAGCGTCCCTCCTCACACCCTTCCTGTAGGTAGAGTTTGGTGGGCAGCAGCAACAGCAGGGTCCCCAGCAACAGATCCTCCATAGTGGAGAAAGGTATTTGCACCAGCCACAGACTCAGGAACCTGGACTCAATAAACACTGGCCCTATAGCTCCTGCCCCTCAGGGTCAGGACTTTCAGAACATTGCTCCCTGACCCCATCACCTTGCTCCCTTTGCCTCCCTACTGTGGGACTCACCCTTCATGGGAGACCAGCACAAAACCAGGAGAGCTCCTGGGAGCAGGAAGAACAGGAGCCGGTACATATATGCTGGAGAAAGCATATAGGTACTAGAGGGAAAGAATGAGGCAGCAGGCAATCAGCTGCAGAAAGGGCTCAGTGATAGTGCACCCAACAGGATGTGGGATGGAGGTGAAGCTGCAATTTCCTCCCTAGTTTCCTGTGAGGTGTGTGCTGGGCTATAAAAGCTGTAGTTTAGTTACCTGCATTGGGAGGCCCTGCCTAAGAGAGTGGGTGTTCTGCTTCCTCTCCCTATTCCAAAGTCAACCCACGGCCTTGATCAAGAATTTTGTATAGGGAAGAGGTAACCCTAGCATCAAGGGAAGATGTTATAGCTTCATGTCACAGGCACACAAGTGCATGGCTTATCACATGGTGTGTTGAGATTCCTGATTCAGCCATATCATACAACACTGGGCTGATGAAGGGAGAGAGCATTCAGGTGAAGATGAGGAACAAGCTCACCTCAGAGTTTCAGTATGCCTGATAAGAATGGAGTTGGAGACTACAAATTCATAAACAGGTCCAGCACAGGGGACCCAAGATGTAGCCATAACAGATTGTTCCTAGTGGTGACCAGCAATAGTATAGGGAATCTAAAAACAGTATACTCACCAATCCACAGCTGGGACAAGTTGAAGGCATGAAAAATTAAGGAGAGAATTGGCAATCAATTTGCAACCATTCAATTTTACCTATGGAAATATAAACAAAGACATTGTATTAAGGAAATCATGGCACCTACACAAAAGGAAGGCATCTTAAAGGTTGCAAACACCCCAACATGTTTTCTTCTTCCTGCATCATTTTCTCTTCCCTCTAATACTCGTTGATTAAATCCACTTGTTCTTCTTTCCCATGTCTTTTGACTAAATTATTTTTGAACAATTTCTTTCTTTTTTTTTTTTTCTTTGAGATGGAGTTTCGCTCTTGTCACCCAGGCTGGCTGCAATGGCGTGATCTCAGCTCACTGCAACCTCCGCTTCCCAGGTTCAAGCAATTCTCCTGCCTCAGCCTCCTGAGTAGTTGGGATTACAAGCGTGCACCACTGTGCCCAGCTAATTTTTGTACTTTTAGTAGAGACAGGGTTTCACCACGTTGGCCAGGCTGGTCTCGAACCCCTGACCTCAAGTGATCCATCCGCCTCAGCCTTCCAATGTGCTAGGATTACAGGTGTGAGCCACCATGCCCAGCTTGGACCATTTCTGTAGACACAACCCAAGTCTAAGCTTCAATATGTTTAGCTAGGCTGAAAGAAGCTTATTTTGCTAGTTTTCTAGTTTGTTCTCTTTTCAAATATTTCCACCTCTACATAGATGAATTTAAAACATATCTCTTCAAGCCTGTTCTGCGGTCTACAGCTATAGAACCCAATTCATTTCAGAAAGTTTCACACTATAGCCCAGCGAACAAGACTAAAGGCAATTCAGAGTAGAAATCAGTCACCATTGACTAGGATGAGAGAACAATAGCTTATACAGGAGATATGATGTAAGGAATTGTAGGACTTAGCTAAGCAAAATTAAGGTGAGTGGCATTCTCTAAGAGAAAGGTGCATGCAAAGTTCTAGAGATTTGCAGGCTTTCTATGTCACAGATTAGATTCTTCTCTTGTAATGTCTTTATCTAGTTTTGTATCAGTGTAATGTTGGCCCTATAAAATGAGATGTGGCGAAAATAACTGCTCTTCCGTGTTCTGGAGGACTTTTTATAGAATTGGTATTGTTTCTTCCTTAAATATTTGATGGAGCTCACCAGTGAAGTCATCCGGCCTTTCCCTATGAGAAGGTTTTTATTTGTATTTTGTGTGTGTGTGAGAGGTTTTTAACTACAAAGTCACTATCTACCTAAGGCATATTTATTTCTTTTGGGGGGACTGTTGGTTGTTAGAGTCTTTAGGAACTGCCCATCATCTCTCATAGTAAGGACCATACTAAGCACCTATATGAGTTTGCTCATTATGGTTTGGTGTTGTAAGGACTTAATGTATTACAGTACTGACAACGGAGTAAGTGCACAGTCATTATTGTTATCAATATTTTCTAAAGAGAATAAAAATCTTTGACTAAGACAAAAAATATTCCAGGTTAATTTCACTCAATTATCTATTCTGTAGAATGACAGAAATTCAAAAGACCCAACTACTAACACACACCTAGAAAGAAGTATCAACGTTTTCTATGGTTTGAATGTCCTCTCCAAAACTCATGTTGAAACTTCCTCCCCAGTGTGGCAGTACTGAAAGATGGTGAGTTTAAGAGGTGATTGGATCATGAGGGCTCTGCTCCTGGAGCTGCCGTGACTCAGGCGGCCCCAGATCTGGCTCATGCCATAGCTCCAGAAGGTCTAAGTCCTAAACCTTGCTGGCGTCCATGTAGTGCTAATTCTGCAGCCTTGCAGAAAGAGAAGAGCTGCGGAGAGGCTTTGCAGCCTCCACACAGATTTCAAAAGATATTGTCAGAAGTCTGGGCCCCCAGGCAGAGACTTGTCACAGAGAAGGATCAACTGCAGATAAGCCCCCACTACAGCAATGCTGAGCAGAAATGTGGGGTTGGAGCTGCTGCAGAGAGTCCCTCAGGAAATGCCTAGTGGAGCCATGGGAGCAAGATGACCACGAAGAGTCTTCACTTGGGTAATATCTAATGGAGCTCTGGAGCAGGACTGCCATCAAAACTTTAGAACTGCAGAGCTGCAAGCATGCAATGCCATCCTGCAAAAACTGGGTGGACTGAGTTCAGTCACAAGCCACAGGGGTCTTGAGAACCCAATCCCCATACTAGTGTGCAGTGGTTGCCAGACATGGAATTGAAAAAGACTATTCTGGAGTCTTAAGACCCAATGTCTGCTCTCTTGGGTTCCAGACTTGCTTAGAGTTTATTACCCCCTTCTTCTTGTCTACTTCTCCATTTTGGAATGGGAATATACATCCTAGGCTTGTCTCACCATTGTATCTTGGAAGGAGATAACTTGTTCTGATTTTACAGGTTCACGGATGAGACTCTGGACCTTGGACTTTGGGCTTTTGAGTTGGTGCTGCAATGAGTTAAGACTTTAGGGCTGTCAGGGTGGAATGACCGTATTTGTATGTGAGAAGGACATGAGTTTTGGGGGGCCAGGGGTGGAATGCTGTGATTTGAATGTTCCTTCTAAAATTCATGTTGAAACTTAATTCCCAATATGGCAGTATTGAGAGGTGGCCCCCTTAAGAGATCACTGTTCAAAATGGGTTATCATGGGAAGGGAGCTGGTGGCTTTATAAGCAGAGAAAGAGAGAAGTGAGTGAACACATTAGCACACTCAGCCCCCTCATCGTGTGATACCCTGCACTGCTTCAGAAGTCTTCAGAAAGTTTCCACCAGCAAGAAGGCTCTCACCACTTGCCTCTACCTGTGAGAAATACATTTCTGAAAGAAAGTTGGGATGAAAATGCTAGAGATAAGAGCATGCAGACTTGCAAAAGAAGTGGCTTATCCTAGGACCCTGCCTTTTAAGGAAAAACACCTCTTGTGTTTTTGTGTCCTGCAACTACTCTTTCCCCATTATAAATTACCCCATTCAGGTATTCTGTTACAGAAACGGACAGTAACAGAAAATTGGACCTAAAACAACGTTGAACCTTGGGGGCCTTTCAATGTACCCCTTTTCTCTTTTCTTGGCTAATGTAATCTTTCAAACAACAAGAAATCATTTTTTTCTAAGACTGTCCCTATATGCCACATATGGATATAGTATGTCAAATAAGTCCTCTCCCACAGTTCAAGGGATTAGCAAATGATCAGTTCTGCCCTCCTTTAGTGGCTCTAGTAAAGGGCCATAGTTGAAAAGTCAGTGTCCTGTATTCTAGTGAAAATTCTTCCAAAGATTCTGCTATGATCAAGAAGACCCTTGGTGTGAGCATCACAGTAAGTTATACTGCTTCCGTCCCACATGTCCTCTAGTTCTGGATGGCCAAGGTCATTCCTCCATTAATTCTGATGCAGGTCTTTGAATAAAACTCTGAGAAATTAACACTAGAATATTTTCTCCTAGAGGTATCATTATACCCACTTTACAGTTTTGGAAACTGAGGCTAAGTGATCTGCCAAGGTCAAAGTACTAGGGAGCAAAACTAAGATTTGAACTTGGGCCTGTCTCAACAATCCACCTAGCTATTAACTGTTGTGCCAGCACCTGCCATATGTAAAGCACCCAGCTCAGTGTTTCAGAAACAACAGGGACCCTTCCAGCATTTTTTCTATTTCCTCTTTTTTTTTTTTTTTTTTCTGAAGCACATATATAACTCTCTGATGTCTGAGCAGATGTCAGTAAGTTGAATATTGAGATACTCTGGAGCACTGTTTTCTACATGGAAAGCCATAGAGGCAGAAAAGTGTGCAAAAAACTCAGGGGTGTAATTGTTGGGGAGAGCAATTCTAAAACTCAGGTACAAAGGAAACTCAAGTACAAAGGATGACCCTGCTTTGCTTTTTAAAAGGGGGAGGAGAGAGGCCTGCAGCTTACTGGTTAAGATCCCCTCATGAGCCATGCATGTCACCTTTGAATCCCTCTTAATAGCTCTGTAATCTTAGACAAGCAAGTAACTTCTCTAAGGTTCAGTTCCCTCAGTGGTAAAATGGAGAGAACAGTATTACCTCCATCAGGTTGTTCAGATGAGTAATTGAGTTATGTTATGTAAAGCCATTACAATAGTTCCTGGCATGTATCTAATGTTACTAATCAGTGTACAATGGACCGAGGGCAGAAGAAAGGGCCACTCCAGGATGTGAAACATGCTAGGAAATTGCCTGTGACTGTCTGGCAGCAGCATGAGAAGCAGGATCAAGCAGAATTGTGTAACAAGATTATGTTCTGGTGACAGAACCATATTTACAGTTTTAGCCAAGAGCTGAGTGCTTGCTGTAGCCTCACCTGGCACTGTCGGGGCACCTTGCCCATACTATGAGCTCCTACAAGTTTGAGGATTAGGTGATATTATCCCCATGTATAAGTAATAAACTAAGACAATAAATGAAAGAGCTGAGATTTGGGCCATAGTCTAACTGGTTCTACTGCTTACGCTC